GTACAGAGCCCGTGCGATGCACGGGGTGCACAATTTTAAGGTCATTTATCCATTCTTATAATTATATAAATGAATAAAAAAAATGTACGGGATATATATAGTACGTGACATGTAATTGGCCAAAATGTGAACACGGGTGATGCACGGGGTGCACAATTTTAAGGTAATTTATTAGTGCATACCACGTGCGATGCACGTAATACATATAATAAATCAATTATTCCTATAGGACTTGTACGTCTAGACAAAAAAAACAATAGGCTTGGATCATCCATATTTCACATCTTTTAATGAGTAGCATTTATTTAAGCCAAAAACTTAACATGTTAATTAATACTCCCTCCTTTTTTAAATAAATGTCGTTTTGACTTTTTTAATTCATCCATTTTGCTATGTATCTAGACATATTAATGTCTAGATACATAGCAAAATGGATGAATCAAAAAAATCAAAACGACATTTATTTAAAAAGGAGGTAGTATATAATTCCGCTAACACGTCATACTAATATTTATTTGATTTTAGAATACATATTTATTCATTGATATAGGAAAAAATAAAAACTTTATTAATTATTGTTCACCATATAATACTCAATTATTATTTTATTATAAAATTTACAGTCATATAATTGAATTATTATTATTTATAAAAGTTATAGAAGTAGTTTTCTTTATATAATGAAATTCAAAATAAAATTTTGAGTATAAAATGTTTACAAATACACACACATGTTTTTTAGAATTCAATTTTCTCATAATATTTTTTTTTAAAAAATAATTTAGCAATTGCCAAAAAATAAATCTCTTACATAATCAAGAGATTTTTTCAATTTTCATCCTAAGACTTTCTAGTTTATTTAACATACTATGCAATAGAAAAATATTTTACAATAAGTTTATTTTTGAAACATAACAAAAAAAAGTGATAAAAACACTATCATAGTTGACAATAATATACGAATAAATAACATGTCGAAATTTTAAAGAATAACTATAATTTTATTATCTAACCATCAATAAAATCATTTAACGATGTGATCATTATCTTTTAAATAATAAATAATATTAATATTTTAAGAAAATATTAGTGTTATATAATTAAATAAAGGTTAAAAAATATTATTCGACAAATATTAATTATAATGAATATCAGTAAAATCATTGCATAAATTATTTAAGGAAAAAAATCTTGAAGATCATATTTGGAGAGTAAATGTAAATATGCAAACATTTAATGCATATAGTAAAAAATTTCCAAATAAAGAAGGCATTAAATGTGTGTTGACTTTTCTTGCTACTGTTTTTAGTAAATAGGTTGGCTTTTAATATATATACTAGTACGAATCCTGTGCGATGCACGGGTAAGATATTTTTATTAATATTAGTAAATTAAAATTGCTCATTAAATATTATATATAAATTAAAATTATAGAATCAACATGCAGTATAATTCACCTGTATAAGATATTTAAAATGTTATATCAATTAAATTGTGCAAAATTACATTAAACATGTTTGTTTAAAGTTAGTACACAACCCGTACTGTAGGCATAACTGATAATAAACTACATTATATTCATTTAAAAAATTGTCATTTTAAATTTTTTATTCAGAAATTCAATTTGAATACAATGTGGTCCATAAAATAATTATTTGGTAATTCATATGTTTAAAAATATATGTGAATAATAAATTTCATTAATTAAAATAAATTTATTTTTGTATAACTATCCAAATCAATAAATCAAAGTAGTTGAGTTATTTATTAAACAATAAGTAATTGATTAGACAATTTACGTCCAAGTTAATATTGACATGCAAGTTATGAATAATTACTTATTTACATTTTAAATTAGGAATCCAAATTTGAACTACACAATAATCCCCTTATATATTATATATATATATATATTTATATTTTACTAATCTCGAAATTTTTTAGATTTGTTGTTGGTAATTTTGTCATTCAAATTAATCAACTAATTCTCTACAACTAAATTACAGAATTTAAATTTTATTAATAAATATTTGTTCAAACATCTTTATAATTTTCAGGAGGAATGTATAACAATTTGTCGAACTATCATCAATATTTTATGGTTGGTTATTATGGGAATATGCTAAAATTGAGAATCATATCACCTTGATTTTATAACAAATCAACCTAAAATTCAACTTTTATACACATACTAAATAAATTCACACCACTTATTTTATTTCAAAATTTCCAAATACACTTTTATTTATACCAAATGAAATTCAAACAATTTAAACTGGGACATTTCACACCAAAATAAAATCACCCTATTTTTGTTCATTATAATACTCAACTATTATTTTATTCTAAAATATATTGTCATATATTATGTAATAAGATACTTTTTTTAAATTAACTATCCACTTTTATTATATGCCAATATTTTGATATTTCTAACAAACTAATATACTCTTATAGTTTACGCAACACAAAAAATTATTTACGCTACATAGTATAAGAACCTTAACACGACGAATTACATTATAAATGTTTTAAAACTTTATAAGATATCCAAATTAAATTTGAATGGTTGTTAAGGAGATATTACAATAAGCAGAAACATGTGCGCTAGGTAGGGCTAAAAATTTCAAATACTGATTTGTTAAAAATTAATCTATTCAATTTTTTTAGAAGGAAAGAAATTGATACTGTGATAAGATATCAACCAATTTAATGCATGACATATCATGTTTATCTATATAAGTTTCGTATTATCAAAATTCATAGTTTAATATTTTTTTGTTAAATTTTAATATATTTATATATATATTTTTTTAAAAAAATAATAGTAATCCTAGATTCTTACCTTTTTTATTAACGTGTTTAAAATATTCTATTATATTAAGTGCATCTTACATAAAATTAAAAAATGGAAAGACAATCTTTGTTAATATTCTAATATATGTAAATTATGTTTTTAAATGGAAAAGAATCATGTAAGTGGAGCATTTCAAAACCTTCTACATTTACATCAAAAAAAATTTAAAATTCGAATTTAATGATTTAAAGACGGGATTTTTCAAAAATGTGAAAAAAATTACCAAGATTAGTAAATTTGAATTGTTTAGGCGGGAAAATAGTTACTTTTTTAGGTAAATGTCAAACTTTTTTATATTTATATATAGACATAGATTAATCGTCTAAAGGCTAAATTAGCACTCCATGCCGAAATTTGGGTACATAAAAGTAGTAAAGTACTTACATTTTGAGATAAATATGATATAATCTTATTCTTATATTATGCGTAGATATGGTGATTTAGTATATTAATTAATGTTGTATAAATGTCATGTAGATATTGAAGAGATATGAAAGTTTATGTAATATGGAATATAACCAAAATTTATGATTGTGATCTTTTTATTCCTTTAAATATTTGAATTTAAAATTTCAACAATACATTTAGGCGGGATTTTTCGGAAATTTTCAAAAAATATTACCAGGTTTAGTAACTCTAAAAATTTTAGGCGGGAATTTAGGTACTATTTCAAGTAAATACCAAACCTTTTTATATTAGTATAGATATATAGATATGATGCATATTA